ATCCACACCTTTGACTTTGTCAACTGAGCAGAAAAAGTCTATAGCTGACATGCTAAACATCAAGAGTTGTAAGTTAAAAATCTCATGTATCAAATAAATACAAGTATATCATGTGCAGGAAGTCTAGTGAAAGTGCCCTTGCATGTGTTTAACAATTAACAGTAATATAAAATTGCATGCAACACACACACAGCTCATTATAAAATAAAAATAAAAACGCACACGCACGCACAACACACATATAGCTTCAATTGCGTAGAGTAAATTGTTAAAATATCTGTGAAAGTGGACACTCCATTTTGGTTGTGTATCACTATAAAGAACCAAGAATTGAGATCAGTATTACTAGGGCATGATCTAAGAAAATTAGAGCTACAGAATGAATACACTCCTAGAGCAATACAACACTTCACAGCCCGAAAATAGTAGGCTAGTAGCCCATTTAACTAATAGAAACTAGGCAAAGTATGTCAAAGACTCAGAATTAAAGATGGTTAAAACAAGATAAGTCAATGCAGCCAAATAAAGAGTGTGTTAATGGTTAGTTCTTTAAGATGCATGCTATCAAACTAAACAGAAATAGACAGTAGAATTTCTTTTAGCTCTTCCCTTCGAAATGTGGCCATGACTCATAATATCCTCTGCTCTTGTTTATCTTTTATAAATGGCTAGCCAATTATAATATCTTACTGTTTACACACAACATGTATGCAGCAGTGATGAATAGTTCATGCTAGTTGTATATACAATCTAGTTATGTCAAGTAGTCTGATTCACCAGACAAGATAAAGTCACTATAAAGACCACAGGATTATAATAAGATTATGAAGGAGAATACACTAAGGGTATCCGATTGATGATTAATAAATGCAAGGTGGACGAGCCGGAAAAAACTTTTCTTACATTTGACTCATCAGTTAACTGTGAAATTGCTACTTTCTTTTTCAATATTAATCCATTCAATTGGGTAGAGGATAATGGGGACGAGGCACGGTTAGAGAGCTTGGGTTTGTGAACGAGAAAGCATACTGGCGGGTGAGTGCTAGAGGGAGGTAATTTTAATCCTAAGGGATCGGATATCATTCCTAATCCCCTTAGCAAAAAACACTAAAGTCTAAACAAATGGCAGATAAGGGATTATGATCTCCTCGTTATCTAGTTCATTATCCAGCAATCAAAAACATTATCACATAGCACTATAGCAGCTAGTTGACTCTAAACACGCCGTGCAAGTTCTAATTCATCTCCAAATGGCTTCTTATGAAACATGACTTGCAATAAACCAGAGGCGAACTTATGCAAGTCGGAGTAGCTAACATCAGAGGCAATTCATAAGGGTTCACAAGATCCGGCGCTCCTGAATTTAAAGGCAGAGAGCATTTCCAGAGTATGAATCTAAACACATGCCTGGAGCCACATACAAGAAAAGATTGTATAGCCAAATTTCTTTTGAATCAGTAAAATAAGCACGAGTATTTAATTAGTATGTTAAGTGGAGTGACTTACATGCCATCGCCAAATTCTTCGTTAATAATTTCCTTGATACTCTCACCAAAATGCATGACGGCTTCATTCAATCTGTTGAAGAGATAAAATAATTGAATTTAGTCTTGACATGCAACAACACAAAGCTTTCCAAAAAACATTGCCCAAAAGGTCTCGCTGACAACTTCACAACACTTAAGCACTGCTAATGCTGTTACCTAATAATCTAATGATTTCACAGGAACAACGAAATGGAAAGTTAGCAGCTTTCCCACATTCCGTTCCTTCTGTATTTTCTCCCTGCCCCGGTATCTCCACTAACAACACTTTATGTGATGCTGGCGAGGGCAGATTCAGGGTTTAAAGACAGTGGTTACACCACTTAATATATATTCATAATCTTAAAAAGTTTCTCTATATATTATATATAAAAATATACAGTCCGAGTACAAAGCAGTAAGTGCACGTGCACCACTGGTTATAATCCGGATCTGTCTCTGGCTGCTGGACATGTCAATGTTATACCAGAATTTTTCACTTTCTAACTAGGACTATAACTTTCATCCAGTCTCTACTTAAGAATTTCAAATTTCCTGTATGCCACATATTCCTCTAGTTCTATCAACTTTCATACACTATAGCAAGATAAAAGCTTTTCAGATAATGAACAGTCAAAAAACAATGAAGTGGATAGCTTTATATGATCGTTTATCGAATCAAGTTAATAGTAATTTCCGTTTTTTCCAACCCCACATCTTACTCTAGTTCAATCAGCTACCATATACCATTGAACTCAGTGTTCTATAACGTCAAAACTCTAATTCTAATTGACCCTCAAAATCCAAAAATAAGGCCATTTCCTTCAATTAGGTGTTTTCTGTTTTTTCATGGGAAACTCTACTAATACTATTAAAGAAATTAAGTGTGTTTATCTCACTTAACTTTGAATCCGTTATATCAGATTTTCCCAGTATTCCCAGTCCCACATCTTACTCTAATTCTATCAACAACCACACAACATAAAGATCAAATCTTTATAGAAAATCAAAAATCAAGAAATGGGTGAAGCGGGCCACCTGTAAACATTGAGTATTGAATCAAGTTTTTTCCTATCCCTCATCTTACTCTAGCTCTATCAACTACCATACACCATAAAAATCAAATCTTTATACAACAATAACAACGCTTCAGTCCCAAACAAGTTGGGAGTTAGTAAGGATTCATCATGACATTGACTAGTTTTACGCGGGCCGCCAACCAAAGATCAAATCTTTATATAAATTTAAAAAAAAAAATCAAGAAATGGGTAAAGTGGGCCACCTGTAAACATTGAGTCTTGAATCAAGTTAACAAGAATTTCAAGTTTTTCCTATCCCTCATCTTACCCTAGCTCTATCAACTACAATACACCATAAAAATCAAATCTTTATACAACAATAACAACGCTTCAATCCCAAACAAGTTGGGGGTTAATGTGAGGATTCATCATAAAATTGACTAGTTTTACGCGGACATCCAACCAAAGATCAAATCTTTATACAAAAATAAAATAAAAAATCAAGAAATGGGTGAAGTGGTCACCTGTAAATAGTGAGCCTTGAATCAAGTTAACAAGAATTTCAAGTTTTTTCCTATCCCTCATCTTACTCTAGCTCTATCAACTACCAACAACAATAACAACAACAACAACAACAAACACCCACAAGTGGGGTCTGGTAAGGTAGTGTATATGCAGACCTTGGGAAGGTAAAGCTCTATCAACTACTATACACCATAAAAATCAAATCTTTATACAACAATAACAACGTTTCAGTCCCAAATAAGTTGGGGGTTAGCCAGGATTCATCATGAAATTGACTAGTTTTACGCGGGCCGCCAACCAAAGATCAAATATTTATATAAATTTAAAAAAAAATCAAGAAATGGGTAAAGTGGGCCACCTGTAAGCATTGAGTCTTGAATCAAGTTAACAAGAATTTTAAGTTTTTCCTATCCCTTATCTTACCCTAGTTCTATCAACTACAATACACCATAAAAATCAAATCTTTATACAACAATAACAACGCTTCAATCCAAACAAGTTGGGGGTTAATGTGAGGATTCATCATAAAATTGACTAGTTTTACGCGGGCAGCCAACCAAAGATCAAATCTTTATACAAAAATAAAATAAAAAATCAAGAAATGGGTGAAGTGGTCACCTGTAAATAGTGAGCCTTGAATCAAGTTCACAAGAATTTCAAGTTTTTTCCTATCCCTCATCTTACTCTAGCTCTATCAACTACCAACAACAATAACAACAACAATAACAAAAACAAAAACAAACACCCACAAGTGGAGTCTGGTAAGGTAGTGTGTACGCCCCTACCGTGGGAAGGTAAAGCTCTATCAACTACCATACACCATAAAAATCAAATATTTATACAACAATAAAAGCTTCAGTCCCAAACAAGTTGCGGATTAATGTGAGGATCCATCATAAAATTGACTAGTTTTACGGGCAACCAACCAAAGATCAAATCTTTATTTAAAAATAAAATAAAAAATCAAGAAATTGTGAAATGGGTAACCTGTAAACAGTGGGGTCTTGAATTAAATTAGGGTCATAAGACCTCAAGGGTGCCTCCATCATATCATGAAGTTGATCATCAGATAATAAGGGAAGTGCAGCCTTCAGCTTTGAAGCAGTTTCAGGTTTGAGCTGAGCTTGACGTCTCAAAAGCTGAGCAACATACACATTTGTGAGACCTGTTTCTTCTGCTATCTGACTAAATGTTTTGCCAGATTTTTGTTTCACTGACATAAGAGATGCCACCATGTTTGCTTTGTTGCTTTGCTTCTCCATTTTTTAGCTTTTGTTATGCTGCTAAGAGAAGAGGGCTTGTGGATATATATATATAGCTATAGGGGATGAGTGAGGATGATCAGTTTTTGGGACCCAATTATCCTACTACTACTTTGCAAAGTCCAATTTGATAAGAAATTTCAGTAGGAGAAAGGGTGTTAATTTTGAGTTTTGGCTCTGACTAATTGGATTTTTTGTACTTCAACAGTCCTACTTCTCTTTTTCTTTGTTCTGTACACACTCCGTTTATATTTACTCGTGAGTCGTGACTTTGCACTTTACTTTAATAAAAAATAAATAAAGTATAGTATATTTTATAATTTTATTCATAATAATTATAATATTTCAAAAAAATATAAAAATTAATTTGAGAAATGAGTAGTTAATAATGGTAAAATAAAAAAAATTGTATTCAATTGATATACTAAAAGTAATAAGTAAAAATAAAAATATATTTTTCAAATAATAGACAAAAAAAAACGGAGGGAGTAGTATAATAAGAGTACTCCGTCCATATAACACTCATTTGGGAATATTTGTTGATATTCCTACATTAAATATTACTACATAAATAATTACTCTAGTCGAGACTTCTAAATATCAGAAATCAAGTAGAAAACACGTCTTTTCATATGCAATTTTAAAGAGAAACTGTTACAACCCAAACTCCAATTAGTCGTGATAACACATAATTCGACCCGTTAGGTAAACCAATTAACAATAATCTAATTCAAATAAGATTTACTAAGAAAAATAAGTGATGGAGTATCTGAACTTTAATACACTTCTCAATGATTGGTAGTACAAACCATGATCTTCTAAAATTTAAAATTTACAAAGATGATATGAAATAAATACAACATCTATTTGAAATATACATGAAAAGATTAATAATTCTAAAGCTAACAAGAACAAGAGGCGGCTATGATCGGAACGCAGATATATCTTCAACGCTAGCTCAGGTCATACTCAGCAACATTAACATCTGAAAATCTGCACGCAAGGTGTAGAAGTGTAGTATGAGTACAGTCGGCCTCATGTACTCAATAAGTAATAAACCTAACCTTAGGTTGAAAGTAGTGACGAGTTTGGACAAAGGTCAGAGTCCAACACCAACAGCCAGTAACAACTCATAACAATATAACTAAAGCAGTAAAAGTAATAACTAAAAAATATAAATGCTCAACTCGTTCACAGTTCCGGAAAATAAGCATGTTTTTCAAGTATAACAGTAAAACCCAAATCTTTTACTGAAATCACCAAAATATGAGTAAATATGAAAACTGTAATTTTTCCTAAAAACTTTCAATAACATGTAAATGTTCCATTATCAGATGGCATGAGGAACGTACATCTCTACGCCTACATGTCAATGTGTATGTGAAGTCATGAATGACACAATACCGTACAATATGAGAAAAATGCATATATATGCGTGTATGTCAAGTGTGCATGTAAAATGCAATGCAACACAGTAATAAAATCATATGCATACTTTCAAAGTATCAATTCGCTCAGTCCTCACAGTCACTCAATCCTTACAGTCACTCAGTCCTTCCAATCACTCGGCACTCACTCGGCACTTGCACTCAGTAGGTACATGCGCTCACTGCTGGTAAGTCACACTCCGGAGGGGCAAATCCTGCCCAAGCGCTAATATAAACCAGTCATGGCATGAATTAATAAAGCATGTTGCAGCGTTGATCTCGTCCAAGTTCACACTTCCATTCGAGGTTATGAAAACGGTCGATACAATAATAATACCCAACAAGAGTCGGGGTCGAATTCCACAGAGAGCTATATATGTGGGAGTTAGTAGTATATATCGTAGCGTGTGATTTTGTATATCTAAATTTGCACTTTTATAAAATTGGGTATTTTTAAAGTCTAATTTAAACTACGATTGTAATTTAATAAATAAAACTAGAAAATTATTTTTATTTTTTTTCAAATATAATAAAAAGGCCTAGGGCTATGACCTTCACCTAGGTGTTTGCCTAATGGGATATAAACTTTAAAACTTATTTTATTGGTCGGGGTGTATTATAGCTATCAACACTCAATTACCCACTCAATACCTCTCGGTTAGAGAGTGATTTTGCCAAATTTGGCTTTCTCAAGTCCAAATGGGTATTGAACTAAACGGTTGATAAAAAACTCAAGTCGGGTTGTTACTATCTCTATGTTCAACCCTTTAATTGGGATTGTCAATCTATCAATTGACCTAATTTCTTGTTAGCCAAGTTTTTCTAGACTAAGTCTCTCTTTCTCAAGCAGAGACCAAGTCAAATAGGCATGAACTAATGTTTGCAACCATTAATTCAACTAATAAAATCAAGAACAAGGCTAAATAATAAACACTCAACCATAAACAAGCATTAAATTAAACATCCATTAAGTTTACACACTAGGGTTGGGTCACAACCCTAGTGAAAATCTAGCTACTCATGCTTGAAATGGAAGAAAAAGAAGAAGAAATGATAATTAAACACATATTGCTAATTAAAATAATAAAATCTATGTTCAAATAGCTCAAAATATGAAAACTACTAAAAAGAGTAAAAGAAAACGGCTACTGTAGCAGCTGATGTAAAAAATGTTGACCTAAAAATGTGAAACTTGTCTATTTATACAGGGCTAAAAATTTCGGATAAAAATGCCCTTTTGTAGGTTCTGTGGCCGTACAATTCCATGTGCGGTCCGCACTTTTCTTCACCTTGATAGGATTGGAAGTATGTGACCGCATAATTCTGAACCGCGGCCGCAATGCACTCTTTCTGCGGTCCACAGAATTGTAACTGCGGCCGTACCTTGCTCTTCTGCGGTCCGCACAATTGTATCTGCGGCCGCATAGTTCTTCTGCTGCGGCCGCACAATTGTTGTGCGGTCCGCACTTCTGGGAGACTTGGAATGCATCTTCTCTGAACTTTGCTTTTGGCTCAGCTTTTGCGGCCGCACAATTCATGTGCGGACCGCACTTTGCACCGATCTCTGGTGGAAATTCCTTCATAACCTGCGACCACAAATGATATTCTGCGGTCCGCACAATTGAGATTCTGTGCCTTTTTTTGTCCTTGAGTTCAGATTAATCCTTCTTGAATTGGATTTCATCTCGGGAGTTCATCTTTCAATATTCTTGCAATTAAGCACATTTCATCAATTTTCGGGAAGACAATTAAACGCTTTTGGACTAAAACGAAAGCTAAAAAGCGCTAATAAATAGTCAAAATCCCCACTTAACAAGCGTGCATCTCGATCCCACAAACATCCTCATGATCAGGCCCTTGACCTCACTCAGTCATCAATCTCTCTAGTCTCTCGGCCTCACAAATCTCATGCCAATCGGCCCAAACAATGATAATATGTTGTGAGACAAATGATATCAGAGAATGAGATATGATATGCAATGAATGAGTATGTAATTGCAATTTAAGCAAAATAACTCAACAACAGAAATGATCTTAGTGGGCTCCAACATGATAAGCATATAGCATAAACACGATTTCTAACATGAGTCACAACTCAATTTCTTTAACACATGAAAATACATGGATAATGATAAGATTGTTTGACTACACAGTTCCACAGAATCGTTTGAGTCAAAATTTCAACGGTGCATGCCCGTACGCCCGTCACCTAGCATGTGCGTCACCTCAACACCAAACACATAACACGTATATTCAGGGGTTCATACCATCAGCACCAGGTTTAGAAGTGTTACTTACCTCGGACAAGCCGAGTCCAATATCGAGCAAGCCAAACAATACTCCTAGAAACGCCACCATGCGCTTACCGACCTCCGAACGGCTCAAAACTAGCCAAAAGTAACTCAAATACATCAAATAATGCTTAAGGAAACAATTCCAAATGATAAAGGCCAAACCTTTAATCAAAACATGAAGTCAACCAAAAGTCAAATTCGGGCCCGCACTTTGGAACTCGGCGAAACTCATAAATCCGACAACCCATTCAATTACGAATCTAAACCATACTAGTTTCACTCAAATCCGACTCCGAATCGATGTTCAAAACTCGAAAATTTATTTTATGAAATTATAGACAATTCCTTCGATTTCTCTTTCAAAATCAATAATCAAACGCCAAAAACGAAGATTAATTCATGAAATATAATTAAAAAATGAGTCAAGAATGTTTGCCCTAATACATGTGGTGAAATTCCTCTCCAAAGTCGCCCAAACCGAGCTCCAAAATCCAAAAATGTGAAAAAATGACCATCCCCTCGAAATATAGATTCTGCATAGGTCTGTTCCTTCTTCGCGAACGCGGAAAGTGCATCGCGTTCGCGAAGCACAAACACTCATTTGCCCAGAAAACCTCTTACGCTAACGCTGAATATCCCGCGCGAACGCTAATCACAAAATTCCAGAACTACGCGATCGAAGACAACATTACGCGATCGTGAATAATAAATTCGCGTGAACCTAGTCTCCTCTTTTCCTCTTCGCGAACACGACTAAACCCACGCGTTCGTGATACACTGCCTCACCAACTTACGCGATCGAGACCAAATCTCACGAACGCGTAGAATAAAATCCTAGCTTCTCATCTCAACTCAATGCGAACGCAGGCTGACCAATGCGAACGCGATGCTCAAGCCTCCAAAGGTATGCAAACGCGAAGAAGAAATACTCAGCTCCAGATTTTTCCTCTACGTGATCGCACCTCCAACTTCGCGATCACGAAGAACACTTGGTGCACCAGGCATTAGCAAAACCATCAATGCAATTTATGAAGAAAATGAACCGAAATCGATCTGAATCACGCCCGAGCCCCCGGGACCCTGTCCGAACATTCCAACAATTCCCATAACATAACGCGAACCTACTCGAGGCCTCAAATTACACATAACAACATTGAAACGTTGAATCATACCTTATTCAAACTTAAATGAACTTTGAACTTTCAGCTTCCAAAACTCGTGCCGAAACATATCAAATCTGAATCTGATATCCTCAAAGTCAACTCTCGGTCAAACTTATGACCATTCCAAACCTTTAAATTTTCAACTTTCACCAATTAGCGTCGAAACCTTATGCAAATATCCAAATGCAAATCCGGGCATACGACCGAGTCTAAAATCACATACGGACCTAGCGGAACCATCGAAACTCCGATTCGGGGTCAAATACCCAAGAGTCAAACTTGGTCAACTCT